AACAGCTTTCAGGCATCCAGACAATGTGGCCGGTCCAGCGGAGTTGATGGCAGAGGACCATCACTTCAATGCTGGTGGTCTTTGCTTCTTCCAGCACGTTGACATTTCCCCACTTGTCTTCCCTAGAGATTTGCAGGATTTTCTGGAGGCAGTGCTGATGGAATCATTTCAGAAGTTGTATGTGACGTCTGTAGACAGTCCACATTTCGCAGGCATATAGCAGGGTTGTGAGGACAATAGCTTTATAACCACCATGTCAAAATACACAGATAAGCCACTGAAATCCACAAGAAGCATGTGGACAATTTCAACAGAAAGGAGGAAACTATGAAAATGAACAAAATCTGGCTACCAGTATTAAAAAACTGTAAAATTACAACAGTAAGTAAAAAACAACACTCAAAAAGCAGGAGAATTCCAGACAAGAATCCATCAGGGCCAACTAACACCTCCCAACAAAGGATTCCTCTAGGCAGGAAGCAGCCAGGCTTTGAAGCTGCAATGCCATTCAGTACTAATTCTTGGCCAATGGCAACATTCACATTTGCCTCAAGCAGACAAGAGTTCTTTCCCCCACCCTGGACATCATTCCACAGATATATAACCCTCCCTCAACCTCTGAGGATGCCCTGCCATAGATGTGGGTGAAACATCAGGAGCGAATGCTTCTGGAACATGGCCATACAGCCCGGAAAACTCACAGCAACCCAACCTTTCAAAATGTGTTGAAATGCAATGCCTTTTGTTCAAAATTGGGAATGGACACAGCCATGAGCCACAGATGCATATGGATCCATCAGGTGCAATTAAACTCATTGAGAGCTGATGGAATAATTATATCTATTCTAACCCAGAGTTTCCAAGGACAAAGTTCAAAAATCCAAATGGATACATAGAATGGAACTGATGGGCTCTGTTGAGTTGGGAGGGTAAACAATTTTTTTAAAAAGCAAAATCCAGATATTTTCGGCAAAAAATTCCAAGGTTGGGCAGGATGGCATTTGCCTTCTCCTCCCAACCAGTTGCTTCCTTTGCTGGGGACCTCCAGCTTGAGCCCTTTCATCCAGATCTCAGACAGGAAAGCAGGTCAGATCCAGCGTCCCACCCTTTCCCCTCCTTCCCCCTCCTCAAATTACTTTTTCAGGTTTCTCTGTCATTTTTAGCCTTTCTTACTCGATCCCAGGAGGATCTGGAGGGAAAATCAGACACGCTTCTGGCTACTCCCAAGCCAAACTTGGCTATTTCCTTTCCTAAAAGAACACAGCAAAGTGGGCTTTGGAGGAGAATTACGGCATCACGAGAGACCCTTAACTCCAAAGGAAAAGGCACAATGGAGAGAAAAGGAGGAGAGAAGAAGATGACAGGTCCATCCTGGATGGAGGCGCAGCAGCCAAAAGGGACATGCAAAGCAAAACAGCCTCCTTCCAGCATTCAGGTCTTGGCTGGGCCCCTCCACACTGGCAGTGTAGACTCATATAATCCAGTTCAAAGCAGATGATGTGCAAGAAAACTTGGGCACATGTGGCCAAGTAACATCAGAGTGTGGTCAAGGGGGCAAAAGTTATGGATAAACTAGTATTCTGGGTTGCTGTGAGTTTTCCAGCCTGTATGTCCAAGGAAGCATTCCCTCCTGACGTTTTGCCCACATCTATGGCAGGCATTCTCAGAGGCATCCTCACAACCTGTGAGGACGCCTGCTGTAGATGTGGGTGAAACATCAGGAGAGAATGCTTCTGGAATATGGCCAGACAGCCCAGAAAACTCATAACAACCTAGTGATTCCAGCCATAAAAACCTTTGACAAAACTTGAATTCTCCCTGAAACAAAGGGGCTAATGTATTGTTGAAGGCTCTCATGACTGGAATCACCAGGTTGTTGTGAGTTTTCCGGGCTGTATGGCCATTCCAGAAGCATTCTCTCCTGATGTTTCACCTGCATCTATGGCAGGCATCCTCAGAGGTTGTGAGGTCTGTTGGAAACTAGGCAAGTGAGGTTTATATATCTGTGGAATGATGTCCAGAATAGGAGGAAGAACTCTTTGCCTGTTTGAGGTAGGTGTGAATGTTTCAATTGGCCACCTTGATTAGCATTTAATGGCCTGACAGTTTCAAGGTCTGGCTTCTTACTGCCTGGGGGAATCCTTTGTTGGGAGGTGATTAGCTGACACTGATTGTTTCTTTTAATTAGTCTGCAGTGCCTTTCATGTTCCTTGATTTGAGTTTAGGAGCTGCATTTCCAGAGATATATTAAACTTACTTGCCTAGTTTACAACAGAGGATACCCACTATAAATGTGGGCAAAATGTCAGGAGAGAATGCTTCTGGAACATGGCCATATAGTGTGGAAGACTCACAGCAACTCTGTGATTCCAGCCATGAAAGCCTACGACAACACTTTGAAAGGCTTATTCCCAACCGTGCTCTGCAAGATTATGTGCATTTGGAAGTTGGATTGGGATCAAATCCGGAGTTTGGAGTTTGATGCCATCTGTATGCAGATGATGTCCAACTCTAGCACTCATTTCCATCAGATGTTAAGGAGGCTGTCCAAGTCCTGAACCGGTGCCTGGCCGCTGTGACGGTCTGGATGAGGGCGAACAAATTGAAATTGAATCCAGACAAGACAGAGGTACTCCTGGTCAGTCGCAAGGCCGAACAGGGCATAGGGTTACAGCCTGTGTTGGATGGGGTCGCACTCCCCCTGAAGACGCAGGTTCGCAGTTTGGGTGTGACCCTGGACTCATCGCTGAGCCTGGAACCCCAGGTTTCGGCGGTGACCAGGGGAGCATTCGCACAGTTAAAACTCGTGCGCCAACTGCGCCCGTACCTTGGGAAGTCTGACTTGGCCACAGTAGTCCACGCTCTGGTTACATCCCGCTGCAACGCTCTCTACGTGGGGTTGCCTTTGAAGACGGCTCGGAAGCTCCAACTAGTCCAACATTCGGCAGCCATGATACTAACAGGAGTGGAGCGCAGGGAGCATACAACTCCTCTGCTGCACCAGCTCCACTGGCTGCCGATTTGCTACTGGGCTCAATTCAAAGTGCTGGCGTTGGCCTTTAAAGCCCTAAACGGTTCTGGTCCAAGTTACCTATCCGAACGTATCTCGGCCTATCAGCCCACCAGGACCCTAAGATCTTCTGGGGAGGCCCTGCTCTCTATCCCGCCTGCTTCACAGGTGCGGCTGGCGGGGACGAGAGACAGGGCCTTTTCTGTGGTGGCCCCTCGGCTGTGGAACGCCCTTCCCATGGAGGTGAGATCAGCCCCCTCGCTAATGGTGTTTCGAAGAAGATTAAAAACTTGGATGTTTGAACGGGCATTCGGATAAACAGTGCAATGAATGTGATGATTACAGGAATGGAAATATGGACGACGAATTGGATCACGACTCTAGTTATGAGATGTATTGTGTTGTTTATTGTTGTGTCAATATTGTATTCTATGCTCTTATGGTTTTAAATTGCATATCGTTGATTGATTTTTATCCTTGTTGTAAACCGCGTTGAGTCGCCTGTTGGGCTGAGAAACTGCGGTATACAAGTAAAGTAAAGTAAAGTAAATAAATAAATCAAATCCTATTGATGGTCTGAATCTTATTAGTTAAGTCCCACCAAACTAGACAGAGCACTAGCATGTTATAGTGATCACAGTGGAAGTCTGGTGGAAGCTCCCTCTATGAAGGCTTTTAAACAGACATTGGTTGGCATCTGTTGGGGTGTTTTGATTGTGCTTCTCCTGCATTGGGCTAGATGGGCATTGTGGTCTCTTCCAACTCTATATTCTACGATTCTATGACTGCCTTTCCTAGTGAGCCATGTTATCCCATGAAATGGCCAAAGTCTGTCACTTTCAGATGAGTCATCCTATCTTCTAAGGAGAGTTCAGGCTTGGTTTGCTCTAGGATCCACTTATTTGCTTTCTTGGCTGTCACTGGACATGGAGATCTCTCCTCCAGATATTTATTTATTCAACCCAGGGGTTTTTAGTGTTCGGCACTGAATTATGTGTATTTGGAGATGATTGGTTTTAGGATGGATCAACCTTGATGGAAGCTTAAGAGTAATGCATCGCTAAAACAAACACAAACACATACCTCATGGGTTAAAAGCAAAATCAAATATTGAGTTTATTTGGAAATGCTTCCACGGGGCATCAAGAAGACGGGGACACAGAAACCACAGCGAGCATCTTGCAGCAACGAAGATGGAGCATTGCAAGGGCTAGTGTAAGCAAAAGTACATAAGTCTCACAATTTTAAGCCCTGTGTAATGATTTCCAAAACTTGGCACACTTTTAGGGACACAATTTGGGTTTTTCATGCTCATAGACACCTATATCTGGGAAGAGAGAAATTTAGATCTTGTCCTTACTGATCTGTTCCTGGATTTGACTATTTAAGACTGTGGGAATGGAATTAAGATTGAGTCCACCTTTGAAGAAGGTTTTGCGCCAAATAGATATTTCAATATAGATATAGTAGTATTAGTTCTACTACCTGGAGTAATACATGTCTATCAAAAAGATTCAGCTTGAATTGTTCTTGCTGTGATATATATATATATATATATATATATATATATATATATATATGAGTGTTCTATCATGAGAGGTTATTTCCTTCCTTTTTTTCTTAGGGAGGGGTGACAAATCAAATGCCATGTTGGTATCTCAGAGAGAGATGCCCAAAAATGAGAAAAGTGGAAGATAAAAGCCAAAAGTTTCCTTCATTTCTCATTGGGCTTTATGAGAGCAACTCTGCAGTTTTATGGAGCTGTCTGAGGTTCTGAACAAATTTTGGGTCCACCTCTTGAAAAACTCAATGCAGATTCAGCTCTCCAAAACAATAGAACCACTGGTTGCTTTGGCATAAGTATGTTTAAATTTCCACATCATAGAAACCTTGCTTTCTTAAACTACAATGCCCAGAAAATCTCCAGCTAGCATGGAGTAGAGGAATTCGAGAAATGGTGGGAACTTTCCCAAAGTCTGTCAACTTCCCTTCCAAAGGATTACAAATGAAACTGAATGTAAAAGCTTTGTTGCTGATTACTTCTTCTTCTTCTTTGTCTTCTTGTCCTCCCCTTTGCGCTTACTTTCTGGTGATTTCTTCTTAGCTTTGCCCTCTTTCCTTCCTTGGCTCTCTGGCGTTGGAAGTGGTGGGTAGATGGGTGGTGGGTTTAGCGTCAGGCTCTTTTTCTGGAGCTTGAGCTGCAAGATTTCAAAGGTGGTCTCAATCTCATGCTGGATGATATCCTGGAGAGTCTGGAGCTGGGCTTTGATGGCGTCTCTGACGAGGGAAACGAGAGCCTAGAAAGCAAACACAGCGCACCTTAAAACAAAACCCAAAATGATTCAACAGTGACAAATGCAAGATACTCCACTTTGGCAGGGAAAACAAAATGCAAAGAAACAGAATGGGGGACGGTGCCTGGCTCGAGAGCAGTACGTGTGAAAAAGATCTTGGAGTCCTCGTGGACAACAAGTTAAACATGAGCCAACAATGTGATGTGGCGGCAAAAAAAGCCAATGGGATTTTGGCCTGCATCAATAGGAGCATAGTGTCTAGATCTAGGGAAGTAATGCTACCCCTCTATTCCGCCTTGGTTGGACCACACCTGGAATATTGTGTCCAATTCTGGGCACCACAATTGAAGAGAGATATTGACAAGCTGGAATGTGTCCAGAGGAGGGCGACTAAGATCAAGGGTCTGGAGAACAAGCCCTATGAGGAGCGGCTTAAGGAGCTGGGCATGTTTAGCCTGAAGAAGAGAAGGCTGAAGGGGATATGATAGCCATGTATAAATATGTGAGAGGAAGCCACAGGGAGGAGGGAGCAAGCTTGTTTTCTGCTTCCCTGGAGACTAGGACGCGGAACAATGGCTTCAAACTACAAGAGAGGAGATTCCATCTGAACATGAGGAAGCTTCCTGACTGTGAGAGCCGTTCAGCAGTGGAACTCTCTGCCCCGGAGTGTGGTGGAGGCTCCTTCTTTGGAAGCTTTTAAACAGAGGCTGGATGGCCATCTGTCAGGGGTGATTTGAATGCAATATTCCTGCTTCTTGGCAGGGGGTTGGACTGGATGGCCCATGAGGTCTCTTCCAACTCTTTGATTCTTTGATTCTATGATTCTATGATTATGCCAAACACTCCCATCATACATTTGACACCTTGGATAACTCTTTAAAGTTTGGAATATACCCAAATAGGATTCCCCACCCATCTGAGAGGAGAAGACTGAGAGCAGACATGGGAGACATGCTTAAATAATTGAAAGGATCTTGTATTGAGGAAGTGGCAGTGGATTCAAATGGCAGGAAAAGATATTCCACCTAAACATTAGAAAGAACTTCCTGATGGCAAAAGCTGTCTGACAGTGGAATACGCTGACTTAGAGCATGGTTGTGTTTTGTTCTTTGGAGTCTTAAAACAAAGGCTGACTGTCCATCTGTTGAGAGTGCTTTGATTGTGCACTCAGGGAGTTGGACTGGATGGCCATTGGTTCCCTTCCAACTCTGTGATTCACAATCCTATGATTTCCCCAGTCAGCATGGTGCAAGATACACCAGCAGTGGCTAACTTTACGTCTGTTCCAGGAATCCAAGGTGGGGCTTGGGAACAGAGAGCTCTAGTTTGTAACTGGAGCTGGGTAGGGGCCAAAAAGATGGTGGTGGGGGGAGCATCTGAGGTTGCATGTGGGTCAAGGAGGCAGCTTGCGGCATGTGGATAGAGATACCTGTCAACAGAAGCCACAGGGTTGCTGTGATGTTTGGCTGCTCTCCCATATTCCCAAGAGCTATTGAGCTTGGAAGGGATCCATCGGATCTCGGAGGCCCCTGTGATGGCAATGGGACCAGGTCCAAGACCCACCGAGAGGAACACTGAATCCTGGGGAGCTTTCCATTTGCACCCAGGGTGGGATATTGGCACAGCTGGGTTTCGTACTCTGCTCGGGTTCAAAAGGTGACACTCGCTGCTCCTTTGCTGTGCCTTCGCCCACAGGTCTTGGCCTGGTGACAGCTTGTACATGCCTGACACACAGAGGGTTTGTTTCATTTTATTTTCGTAAATGGGGCCCATCGATGCTGCTCTGCAAAATGCCTTTGAGTTTCAGTCGATTTCCCCAAACAGAAAAGATTTTGAAGCAAAGAAGAGCTGGCAGGGAGCAAGCCCAGACAGGTGGAAGGCTTCGATCTCAAGTGAGCGAGACAAACTGGGTTGTCACAGATTAATGATGCAAATTTCGACTGTCAAAGAAAGAGAGAGAATTTGGGGAACAGGGACCCAAAGATGTAAGCCTTAGATGCTGTCAACTTGTGTTCTAAACTGGGAAATCAGATCCACATTTATTGAACTACAAGATTACAATTCTGGGAACTGTAGTCCAAAAATGGACACTCAAAATACTAACACCTGTTCTGACAGATCAAACTTCCCAGGCATTTAGCCATCCCACTTCTTACTCCTTCTCCAAGATGGAGAATGTATGATCTTCTGAAGGTCTCTGTTCCACAGTCAACATGATCTTGTTATAAACAGATCTTCCCTCAGATTGTGACCCAATCTCCTCTCTTGTAATTTGGACCCACAGATTGAGGCCTGAATTGGTAGACACTAATCCACATCAGTCCTCTGCCATCCTATTGTTTCAGTTGCTTTTAAAATGTCCCAGCTTCTCATGTCTCCTTCCACTTCCCCCCTTAGCACACTTTAGTTGCTGTAAATGCAAAGCAATATAGTTTGTATTAAATTAAATCTGCAAAATGGGAGAAGAGGGGCATCCCAAAAGTTGCTTCTCTTTAGTTCAGTGGTTCTCAACCTTCCTAATGCCACAACTTCTTGATACAGTTCCTCATGTTGTGGTGATCCTCAACCATGAAATTATTTTTGTTGCTAATTCATAACTGTAATTTTGCAACTGTTATGAATCATAATGTAAATATCTGATATGCAGGATGTATTTTCATTCACTGGATCAAATTTGGCACAAATATCTGATACACCCTAATTTGAATACTGGTGGGGATGGGGGGGGGGGGGTTGATTTTGTCATTTGGGAGTTATAGGTGCTGGGGTTTATAGTTTACCCACAATCAAAGAACATTTTGAACTCCACCAATGATGAAATTGACCCAAACTTGGCACACAGAACTCCCATGAGCAATAGAAAATACTGGAAGTGTTTGGTGGGCATTGACCTTGAGTTGTGGAGTTATAGTTCACCTACACTGAGAGAACACTGTGGGCTCAAATAATGATAGATCTGGACCAAACTTGATATGAATACGCAATATGCCCAAATGTGAACACTGGTGGAATTTGGATAAAATAGACCTTGACATTTGAGAGTTGTATTTGCTGGGATTTATAGTATACCTACAATCAAAGAGCATTCTGAACCCCACCAATGATAGAATTGGGCCAAACTTCCCACACAGAACTCCCATGACCAACAGAAAACACTGGAAGGGTTTGGTGGGCTTTGGAGTTGTAGTTCACCTACATCCAAAGAGCACTGTGGACTCAATGATGGATTTGGACCAAACTTGGCACAGATACTCCATATGCCCAAATATGAACACTGGTGGAATTTGGAAGAAATAGACCTTGACATTTGGGAGTTGTAGTTAAATGTGAACCCTAAATGTGAACACTGGTGATGAACACACAGAACCCTCATGACCAACAGAAGATACTGTGTTTTCGATGGTCTTTGCAACACCTCAGATAGCTCCTCATGAGCCCCCCAGGGGTCCCGCCCCCCAGGTTGAGAAACACTGCTCTAGTCAACCAATTTCCACCTAGGAGTAGCCTACAATTTACTAGCTTGTTTTTTAAATAGGCAATGTGTGCCATTTAACAAAGTGTGGCCCTTTACTGTTGCTTATTGGGGTCCCTGATTCTTTCAACTAATTATTTTTAACAAAAAAAGAGGGAAAATAATCCTTCCCTGAGGCTTTCAGGGCAACAATTCACCTTTCTCGTGGTTTCCAAACCTTGGGCCTCCAGGTGTTTTGGACTTCAGCTCCCACAGTTCCTAACAGCTGGTAAACTGGCTGGGATTTCTGGGAGTTGAAGTCCAAAACACCCGGAGGCCCAAAGGTTTGGAACCAAAGCATCCCTTATCCAGAAATCCCAAATACTTCAAAATCCAAAATAGTCCACACAGGTGGCTGAGATTACAGTGACTCCTCTGAGTTCTGATGGTACACAAACTTTGCTCCATGCACAAAATTATTAAAAATATTGTATCAGATTACCTTCAGGCTGTGTGCATAAGGTGTAGATGACACATCAATGCATTTCGTGTTTAGACATGGGTCCCATCTCCTACTTATCTCATTACGTGCGTATATGCAAACGGGGATCTTTCAAAGCCTGAAAAATCCCCAAATATGAAACATTTCTGGTCCCAGGCATTTTGGAGAAGCGATACTCAACCTGGGTTGCTGTCAGTTTTCCAGGCTGTATGGTCATGTTCCAGAAGCATTCTCTTCTGACGTTTCACCCACATCTATGGCAGAATTTGCCCCAGTTCCACCAGGCAAAATGGGACGGGCACAGGAGCTTTCAAGGTGTGTGCTTGTTTTGTATGAGATCTATTTTGTTTTGTGTTGTCAAGGCTTTCATGTCTGGAATCACTGGATTGCTGTGAGTTTTCCAGACAGTATGGCTATGTTCCAGAAGCATTCTCTCCTGACATTTCACCCACATCTATGGTAGGAATCCTCAGAGGTTGTGAGGTCTCTAAGGATGCTGTTGCACTCCAGAACAGGAACAATCCTCTGACTTTAAACACCACACGTTGAACAGGAAAAAACAATCCTTTTATTGAAGATAAGTAAAAAGCAGCAAAGTAAAAAGCACTTTGAAGAAATAGGTAAATCCAATTAGGTAAGAAGATAAGCAGGAACAAATTAGTCCAAGATAGAGTTCATCAATGTTCATAAAAGCAAAGTCCACACATCTCCAGTACAATCCAGAAAATCAGGAATACATTGATCCAAAGCTTGGGTAAGCAATCATGAAATCCAGGAATCCAAAACCATGAACAGGAAACATCTTAGCATGAAACTTCAAAGCAAGGTTTCCATAAAACAAGGATGAGAATGTGATTCTAAATGATGCTTCATGTGACTACACATCCCACACTTGAGTCTTTTATCCCCTCATTAGTTAGGTCAAAAGCGGTCAGAAATTGGTTTCTCTTTAGTTGAGGCTTTGTTGTTGTTTTCTGTCAAAGCCTGGCAGAGCACCTAAGCCTTTGCACAGCTCTCCTGTTTTGACTGAATTCTTCTCGTCTATCTCTCAGCTCGTTATCTACTTGTTCTACTTGCTCATTAATTTCTGCAGGCGCCGAGGTATTTTCATCATCATCCCCACACCCCTCAGGGACATTCTCATGGGAAACTACAGGGATCTCCTGGTCATTCTCTGCATCAGTATCACTGACCAAACCATTGCCATCTTGAAACTCATCTTGAACCTCATTAACATCATTCCCCACATCCAAAGCACCCTGATCTTGAAACACAATTACAGGCTGAACTCCAAAAGATGCCTGCCATAGATGTGGGTGAAATGTCAGGAGATAATGCTTCTGGAACGTGGCCATACAACCTGGAAAACTCTCAGCAACCCAGTGATTCTAGCCATGAAGGCCTTCGACAACATAGCAATACTCAACCTGTTCCCATTATTCAAAACCTTAAATGGACAGACAGTCCAGAAAACTCACAGAAACCCTTAAATGGGCTTCCAGCCATTTTGATTTAGGAAAAAAGCAAGCATGACAGAAAGGTACAAAATTATTCCTGGTGAGAGAGATGGAGACGGGGATAATATTTTCTCTCCTTTTCCCAGAGTTTTGCATCATCTACTGAGTCAGCTCCAAAGAGAAGCAAAAAAGCAATGCCCAATTGAACCTGGGCAAGATAAATGTGTAGCTATCAATGTAATTTCAACCCAAGATATTACAAGTAGGTGTGGCACCAACAGGGTGAATCTGGGGTGGCTCTGGGTGAAAAGAAGCCAGTTAAACATAAGTGAGAAATAATCTGGGAGCATACCCTTTAGCTAAGAAACAGAAAACACGTTTCCTAACTTTGTGTGTTTGAATGACAAGCTGTGACCGATACTTCATGCATGAATATGAGTCAACAGTGTGATGCGGCAGCTAAAAAATCCAAATGTGATTCTAGTCTGGATCAAAAGGAACCTAGTGTCTAGAGAAAGGGAAGTCACAGTCCCACTCTCTTCTGCTTTGGCTGAACTCACCTGGAATACACCTGTGCCAAATTCTGGCCAAAGCAATAAGGAGTTGGAGAAGACGGAAGTTGTCCAGAGATGGGCCACCACAAGGGCCAAAAGTCTGGAACCCATGAATCCCCATGAGGAGCTATTTAGGTAACTGGATATGCTTAGGTTGGAGAAGAGAGGGGACATGATAACCATGTTTAAATATTTGAAAGGACAGAGTAGGCTTGTTTTCTGCTGCTCTACAGATCAAGACACAAAGGAGCTATGGATTCCTATCGCAAGAAAGGAGATTCCTAAATATAATGAAAAACTTCTTAATAGTAAGAGCTGGTGGACAGTGGAATATGCTGCCTGCAAGCCTGGTGTCTCCTTCCCTAGAGGTTTATAAGCAGAGGATGGATGGCCAGCTGGTTGGGAGTCAGCTACATTAAAATCAGTACAGACAAAGGTCATGAGTTTGAAGTCAGCCTGGGTTGGAGTAAGCTCCCGAACATTTGTCTAGCTTGCTGTTGACCTTTGCAGCCCAAAAGATAGTTGCATCTGTCAAGTAGGAAATGTAGGTACCGCTTATGCCGGGAGGCTAATTTAACTAATTTACAATGCCATAAAAATCTCCAGCAGCATACAAAAGAATGACGAAGAGGTAAATCGGTGTCACAAGTGGACCGTGAAGTGACAGCTCCCCCGGTGGCCAGAATTTGAAGCATACCCTCATGAAGCTGGAAAGTTAAATAGCCTCTGTGTGTCTGTCTATATATGCTCTGAATGCAATTTTCCTGCTTCTTGGCAGGGGGTTGGACTGGATGGCCCATGAGGTCTCTTTCAACTCTTTGATTCTATGGTTTTATGATTCTATGTTGTGTTTCTCTGGCATTGAATGTTTGCCATGTATATGTGCATTGTGATCTGCCCTGCGGGGTGAGAAGGGCGGAATAAAAATACTGTAATTAATTAATTAATTAATCTGTCAGGAGTGCTTCAATGGTGTCTTACCATATAGAAAAATGAGCTTGGACTGGATGGCTCTTGGGGTCTCTTCTAGCTATGAATCTACGATAGGCTACTCAATGATGTATGGCAATTCTCAACAGTGGGATGTGCTGTGGTGTCTCTTAGCAGAGTCTGGATGGCTTGGATTCTGTCTTTCTGTGTGAAAGAATGGGATTGGACTGGATGGTCCTCTTCCAGTCATCTGATTCTATGATAAAGGGGCTACCCTTAGATCTCAGGTTTTGGCCTGGGATGTTGCAGAACTGGGAACCCTATGAAAGACATCATAAAGTTGGAACAGCCCCAAGGGCCATCCAAGCAAATCCCATTCTGCCATGCAGGAACACAGAATCAAAGCACTCCTGACAGATGGCCATCCAGTCTCATCTTAAAAACCTCCATCACACTCTCCCGATTTACCTCTCTGCTCAGGCCACCGGCTTGCCTCTGGACACTCCTGTACACTTCCTGCAGTAGATGTTCTTTCTTTTCCCATAGGGATTCTCGGATACGTTCCAAGCTGGCCCGCTTTTCATCTTCGGCCGCAGAGAGGGCGGACAACTGCTGCTCAAACTTCCAGGCTTCCAGTTCCATGCCTTCGCTCAGGGGCAAAGGGATGGGGGGCGCATAGACCTCCAGGCTGCCAAAGGACTGCTGGCGGTTTCTCTCCCGGGTCAATACAAACTGATAGAGCCAGTAATGCTTGATGAACGTATTGTGAAAGTAATTGCAGACGGCACGCAACTGGGTTGGGGACAACTTCACCTGGAAGTTGACAAGTTTCTCTTGCAGGACTTGGATGGCTTGTAAAGGGGGACCACCTGGAGTGGGGCAATGGAAGGAGGAGATTATTATTATTATTATTATTATTATTATTATTATTATTTGTGATATTATACATTTTTCTCAGGAGAAGGCGGTGGTTCACAGTATCATAAGGTGCTGACAGGTCTATGAAGACAACTCCTATCACAAAGGATTTCCACTTTACCCTCTTCATAGAAAATCTGCTACAAAACAGGAGCTTTTTTGTTGACTTACAGGGCCAGAAAAGCAGCTGGCAAAAACAGAAGAGCAGCCTGCCTCAGGGGAGTGTGTTTACTCCATCAATGTTTAACATTTACACAAATGATCAGCAACTGCCAGAAGGGACAAAGAGTTCCATCTATTCTGATGATCGTGCCATCACCACTCAAGCAGGGAGCTTTGAGATGGTAGAACAGAAGCTCTCTGAAGCTCTAGGTGCTCTTACTGCCTACTACAGGGAAAACCAGCTGATCCCTAATCCATCTAAAACACAGACATATGCTTTTCATCTCAAGAACAGAGAAGCATCCCGAGCTCTGAGGATCACCTGGGAAGGAATCCCACTGGAGCATTGCAGCGCACCCAAATACCTGGGAGTCACTCTGGACCGTGCTCTTCCCTACAAGAAGCACTGCCTAAACATCAAGCAAAAAGTGGGTGATAGAAACAATATCATACAAAAGCTGACTGGCACAACCTGGGGATCACAAACAGACATAGTGAAGACATCTGCCCTTGCACTATGCTACTCTGCTGCTGAGTATGCATGCCCAGTGTGGAACACATCTTGCCACACTAAAACAGTGGATGTGGCTCTTAATGAGACATGCCGCATTATTACGGGGTGTCTGCGCCCTACACCACTGGAGAAATTACACTGTCTAGCCAGGTATCGCACCACCTGACATCCGCCGGGAAGTAGCAGCCAATAGTGAAAGGACCAAGGCAGAGACATCTCCAGCTCATCCCCTTTTTGGGTATCAGCCAGCACGTCAACGACTTAAATCAAGAATAGTTTTCTAAGATCTACAGAGACACTCGCTGGAACACCCCAGCAAGCGAGAGTCCAAAAGTGGCAGGCTCAAACCCAGAACCTCAATCCATGGCTGATACCAAATGAGAGACTCCCCCTGGGCACACAGAAGACTGGGCGACTTGGAAGGCGCTGAACAGACTGCGCTCTGGCACCACAAGATGCAGAGCCAATCTTAAGATATGGGGCTACAAAGTGGAATCCACAACATGCGAGTGTGGAGAAGAGCAAACCACTGACCACCTGCTGCAATGCAACCTGAGCCCTGCCACATGCACAAGGGAGGACCTTCTTGCAGCAACACCAGAGGCACTCCAAGTGGCCAGATACTGGTCAAAGGACATTTAATCAACTACCAAGCTTGCAAACTCTGTTTTGCCTGTTTGTTAAAAATTTGTTTAAAATGTAATACAATTGTCTGGTTGATACTGACATGATAAATAATAATAATAATAATAATAATAATAATAATAATAATAATTTACCTGCCTCTCCTCATAGTTGGATGTATAACATAGTTAAATTACAAACATAAAGCACAAGATCATTAAATAATACTATGTCTCATACTATACCATACCATACATTCTGCATTCACTTGATATTAATAAGAAATAATTATAAAACTTTATTTATATACCGCTTTATCTCCCCAGGGGGACTCAAGGTGGTTTCCAAGCAACAACATCAAAACATACAGAGTCACAACATGAACAAAAAATAACAGTAACAGCAACATAAGCATGAAATTACCCAACAACACATCAATACTAAAAGAAAAAAATCCTACCTGCTCTTCATGTCTGTTTGTTAGGGCATGGAAAAGGAATGGGTCAGGACAATGAAAAAGGCTGGGTCAAGACTGATACAAATTGAAATAAGATGGGACCGCATTTGGGTACAGTACTGTAATAGGTAAATGACAAAAGTGGGGACTGGTTATTTCCAGGGGCCTGTTAGGAGAAGGACCAGGGTAATATATAGGGGGCTAGGTCGTGTCCAGACAGTGTCTGGTCTGAGCTAGCACTGGTCACTTTCGAAGATTTGTTGAAACCACCAAGTCTTCAAACTCTTATGAAAATAGGGGAGGAATGGGGCCTGTCTTATTTCCCTTGGAAGGGTTTTCCAGAGGCGGGGGGCCACCACCAAGAAGGTCCTCTCTCTCATCCCCACCAACCGTGCTTGTGATGGAGGTGGGAGTGAGAAGAGGGCCTCCCTGGAGGATCTTAGAGTTTGTGCCGATTCATAGATGGAAATACGATTGCGAAGATAAGCGGGGCCCGAACCATTTGAATATTGAAATACAATCATGGAAAGCAAATAAAGACAAACTTAACTTAAGGAAACACGTTTTCACTCTATTATAAAAACAGCTTTCTGGATGTTGTACGCATAGATTCGTGGATTGCTTTTGCCGGTTGCTTGAGAGTTCCATTTGTTTGAGTTCCACTCTGAACTGCCATGGCTCATGCCAGGGAATCATGACAGTTGTGGCTTTGCAAGGCCTTTAGACATTTCTACTAGGCCTGGGTAACAACGGAAAAATTTGTTTCTAAAATCGATTTGTATTTGGGGGGTTTTTTTGTTTCGATATTTAAAATAATTACAAAATTTTCCCTTAAAAAAGTTCGATATTTACGAAATTTCGTAAATGTGAAAAAATTACAAAACATTAACAAATCGATTTCCGAAACAATAACGAATCGATTCGTTAATGGCGGACGCGACCGCGAAATACGCTAAAAAACCTCCAAAAACTTCTGAAGCTTCCCTCTCCCTCTGTTGTTGACTGTTGGTGTGATATTATATTTTTTTTCACTAATTAAACAAAAAACAACTATAAAACTTGCCCCAGACATGCGGAAATAATAACGAAACGACCTCAGAACAATAACGAAACGAATACAATAACGAAATACGAAGCATTTACAAAACGTGTTTAAAAATTCGTTTTTTTTAAAAAATTGCTCCAGAATGGTTCGTTATCGTTTTGTAATTGAAAAAAATAACGAATTATTAACGAATTACGAATTAACGAAACGAAACTGCCCAGCCCTAATTTCTACCCAAGATTGCTAAAGCTTCACCAAACTACAACTTCCATGAGTCTTGGCAATTGAAGTGATGTCAAACTCAAGTGAATTCTGCTAGGACAGTTGACAAGGAGAGCCATGCCCGGTGAACCTTCACCAAGAAAGATCAGCCAGGAGAGAGTACAGGCACTCTGTGCTGAAGGCAAAGCTATAGAGGCTTACTATGCAAGTACAAGCAACTCACTCCAAAAGGTACAAGCATGAATTCACTGAAAAATACAAGACATCGTATCCAATTCTGACAGCCATTCAGACTTCCCACTCCCTCTCCCGATCGACTAAAAAAGAGGTAGACCATGATCTGTGCCTGGATTAGCTGTGGGTTCCCTTGACATCGCAGCCTACAAAAGGAGATTCCCATGGCAGGAAGGAAGACATCTGCTGGTTAGGTAGTTTAAAGAGCCAGTTCGTTGTACAGATGCCCCTTGGGAGGGCGCAGTCCAGGAGGAAATGATGACATGGGTATGCTGATGAGTCCCTGATTAACTCAAATGTTCAGTTCTGTGCAAGATAAAGGCTCCAAGGCCCAAAAGACAAAGGTGGTGATCCCAGACAATCAAGGGTTTGATTGTTCCCATTGAGAGTTAATGGATTCATATTTGCTGAGTCCCCTTTTCTGCAGCAGTGGCAGACTCTCAGCCTCAAGGTGAATGAACAAACATCCTGAGCTTATCCTGGTGACAAAAAAAGATCACCTACCTACATACACTCACACACAAAGATTTTTATAGTTGTCTGACTGGGAAATAGCTGGAGAGACCCTAGCTGTGATTTCCTTTCCCAAGAATTTATGTAAATGGAGGGCATGGAGAGGTAGCATACTTCTAGATACACCTTGATACATTTCATTTGATACAATTTATACATCTACATAAATAAAAATGTAATATTTGGGTTGTTGTAGGTTTTTTCGGGCTATATGGCCATGGTCTAGAGGCATTCTCTCCTGACGTTTTCGCCTGCATCTGTGGCAAGCATCCTCAGTTGCTGGGATTTATAGTTCACCTACAACCAAAGACAATTCTGAACTCCACCAATGATGGAATTGAACCAAATGTGGCAGACAAGACTCCCATGACCAACAGAAAACACTAGAAGGTTTTGGTGGGCATTGACCTTGAATCTGGGAGTTGTAGTTCACCTACATCCAGACAGCACTGTGGATTCAAACAATGATGGATCTGGACCAAACTTGGTATGAATATTCCATATGCCCAAATATGGACACAGATGGAGTTTGGGGGAAATAGACATTTGGGAGTTGTATATACTGGGATTTATAGTTCACCTACAATCAAAGAGCATTCTGAACCCCACTAACGACAGAATTGGGGCAAACTCCCCACACAGAACCCCCATGACCAACAGAAAATATTTAAGTCCATCCAGTCCAACTCCCTTTACCGGGGCAATAAACTGTAATCAAAGCCCTCTTGACAAAGAGCCATCCAGCCATAGATATAGATAGATAGATATGATTCACACACAGAGAGATATAGTATCATAGATTTGAAAGGGACCCCTAAAGAAGGGCAACGATATGTTGCATGTTCCAGAGTAGGCAAACCAGACAATCTCCACATCAACACTGACAAAGACACAGCAAGAAATACTGTTTACCCACAAGCAGAAAGAAATTACATATATTAGAAAACAACACTTTCCCATTACTTTATTTTCCAGATCACCAGACTGGGCCACAGCAACGCGTGGCAGGGGGTTGCTAGTTTATACTTATAGGACCGTTGACAAGAAGAGCCATGCCTGGTGAGCCTTCACTAAAAAAGATCAGCCAGAGAGAGTACAGGCCCTCTGTGCCGAAGGCAAAGCTATAGAGGTTTATTATGATTTTGACAAAGCACATAAAAGATACAAGTTACACAAAAAT